TTTGATGTGGTACTCGGGATGGAATTCCTATTGGAGCATAAGGTGATCCCATGCCCTTGGCTAAATGACTAGTCATAACAGGGTCAACCCCAACTGTTTTCTAGACAAGCATCAAACAACTCGATGGAATTAGGATGATTTCGCCACTCCAACTTAAACGTGGTCTTGCACATAATGAGCCAATGTTCATGGCCATTCCTGTGGTGGAAATTGAAGGAACAATTGAACTTGTTCCCATAGAAATACAGCGTGTACTAGAAGAGTGTCGTGAAGTAATGCCAGAGAGTCCACCAAAACCTTACCACCTCATTGAGGCATAGACCACGAGGTTGAACTGAAACGGGGGTCGAAACCCCCGGTAAAGAATGCTTATAGAATGGCTCCACCTGCGTTAGTGGAGCTATGAAAGTAGCTCGATGAACAACTTACTGCTGAGTTCATCAGACCTGCAAAAGCCCCCTTTGGAGCCCCAATGTTATTTCAGAAGAAGAAGGATAGGAGTCATCGCCTATGCATAGACTACTGTGCCCTGTTGTTTTTCACAGAATTTCGGTGAGAGGAAATTGGTTGTTGGAAGAAAATGCGTAAAAAAGGAGAGAGAAAAATTAACTGAATTCTGACTGCGTTCAGATTGTTTTATTTTCTGAACAAATCTTCTATTTAAAGTAAAAATCATTCTAAAAATGGCTGGAGAGTGGCCAACTAAATTTGTGCCACTCCCTACAAAATTTCAGTCTAAAACTCTGGTGATCCATTCGACGTGATTTGTAAAATGGTCAAACTGACGATTTTCTGAAATCGTGTGAATAAGAAAAACGGTAAAACTCAGGTTTTATCTAACAATCTTCTCATAAAACCTGTAGTATATCTACCTTACTATTTGAACTCCGATCTTTGAGCGTAGTTCTTCAAATTTCACCCGCGCCAGGGACTTGGTGAAGATGTCTCCAAGTTGTTCCTCTGTTCGGATGTAATCAATTTTGATGAGCCCTCGATCTGCACATTCTCGAATGTAGTGGAATCTGATTTCTATGTGCTTGCTTCGTTCATGCAAAACTGGATTTTTGATCAGGGAGATCGTAGCTTTGTTGTCTACGTATAGCATTGGTGGATCACTTTCTCTCCCGATGAGTTCTTCCATTAGTCGCGCAAGCCAGATCCCTTGTGTTGCTGCCATCGAAGCGGCGATGTATTCTGCTTCACAGGAAGACAAAGCAACTACCTTCTGTTTTGTTGATTGCCAGCAGATTGCGCCGCCTGAGAGAAAGTAGATCATTCCGCTAGTGCTCTTACGATCATCAACGTCATCGGCCATGTCACTATCACTGTAGCCAACTAGCTTGAGTTTCTCCTTTCCGCTCCCTGCGCAGTATCTTACACCCCAGCCTCTGGTTCCGACTACATAGCGCAGGATGCGCTTGACAGCCACTAAATGCTCCTCCCTAGGTGCTTCCATAAACCGGCTCACATATCCAACAGAATAAGCAAGATCAGGACGAGAGTTTACCAGATAGCGCAGACTCCCGACAATGCTGCAGTAATTGGTGGAGTCGACTGTCGTCGTAGTGCCAGCCTTTCTTAGTTGGAGTCGGGCCTCCATTGGCGTCCTTGTAGGATTACTGTTCACAAGTCCAGTTGTGTCCAGCAGCTTCTTTGCGTATGCACTTTGGCAGATGGAGATGTCGGTAGAATTCTGTTGCACTTCGATGCCGAGATAGTAGCTGAGCACGCCGAGATCGCTCATCTCGAAGTTTTTCGACATCTCCTTCTTGAACCTTCCGAGGACTTCCATGTCACCTCCAGTGATTATGAGGTCGTCGACGTGCACTCCCACGATTAGTCGCTTCTTGTCATGGTCGTGCGTGTACATGCCATGCTCAGAGGCGCAACGTTTGAATTTCAGTGACAGTAAGGTACTGTCGAGCTTCGCGTTCCAGGCTCGTGGAGCTTGTCGAAGCCCGTAGAGTGCCTTGTGCGGGCGCAATACTTTATTGGGGTTGTTGTTATCCAGGAAGCCAGGTGGTTGTCGGACATAAACAGTCTCCTTTAGCTCTCCGTTAAGGAAAGCAGACTTTAAGTCCATATGGTGAACCTCCCAAGAGTAATGTGCTGCAATTGCAAGTAAGAAACGAACGGATTCTAACCTTGCCACTGGCGCAAATACCTCTTCGAAGTCCACTCCTTGCTTCTGGACGTAGCCCTTCGCCACCAGACGGGCCTTGTGCTTCACAACTTCTCCTTTTTCGTTGCGCTTCAGTTTGAAGACCCATTTGAGCCCTATTGCTTGGTGTCCCGGCGGCATATCCTCCAGTCTCCACGTCTGATTTTCGGTGATGGATGTCATCTCCTCCTGCATTGCCTTCAGCCAGCACGAATTCTTTTTTGCTTCGGTGAAGGTGTTCGGTTCATCTGCACTGATGGCATGTAGTCCGGCCACTTCTTCGAGCTCGCGCACTGCCAGTCCAGGTGGTTCACCTCCTCCTACTAGGTCGTCCATCCTCCGGTACCTGGCCTCCAGATCAGTATCGTGATCGGCATCCAGCGTCGAATCCGCAGTCCGTGGTGTTGCGAATTCCACTGGATCAGGGGTTGCACCTGCTGGCGGCGGTGACGGCTGCTGATGCTGGGCTCCTCCTTCTTCTGGCTCGATGACGAGGTACTTCACCGTAAATTGATTTGGATTATGGTCTGCCTCGATCACGTCATTCCACTGCCAGAAGGTGCTTTCGTCGAAGACGACGTCGCGAGACACGTGAGCTCGCCCCCCTACAGGATCATATAGTCTGTACGCCTTGCTCCCGGGTTCATAGCCGATAAAAACGACCTTCAGCCCCCTAGGATCGAGCTTGGCGAGGTGGGGACGTGTTACCTTCATGTATGCGACGCAGCCGAACACGCGAAAATGATGTACCGCTGGTTTTTTGTTGTACCAGGCCTCATATGGTGTCTTCCCGTCAAGGCTTCGGGTTGGTGAACGATTGAGGAGATAGATGGCCGGTCATTACTGCCTCTCCCTAGAATCTCCCAGGCATCCCGGCCGTCACCAACAATGATCTTGCTGTCCCGACGATGGTCTGATTGCTCCACCACTCTGTTCTGTTGGGGGGAGTAGGGCGTCGTTAGGTGCCGTTGTATGCTGATTTCGTCACAATACTTACCTCTCTGCCTCGATCTGTGCGCAGCACTCAGCATCTTCTTCTCACATTCGGCCTCCGCTCGCGCTTTAATGCACTTAACCGCCTCTGCCGCCTCACTTTTCGCTTGCAACAGGGTCAGCCACATGAAGCGGCTTTTGTCATCGACTAACAGGAGGAAGAAACTCTTACTGCCTGGGGTCGCCGGCTTGATGGGCCCGCAGATATCGCCGTGTACAAGCTCCAACGGCTCATCGGCTCGATAGGATGTTCGAGACGGAAAGGGTGTGCGCCTCTGTTTGCCGATGAGGCACCCGTCGCACAGCTTGTTCACGCCTTTGATTGCTGGCAAACAGTGCACTAACTCCTCCTTCTGTAGTTTTTCTAGAGCAGGAAAGTTTAAATGCCCGTACCTTGCGTGCCACCTCCAAGATACCTCTTTGGTCTTGGCCGAGAGACTGACAGGTTGCTCTATCTCTAACTCCAGGATGTATATACGGTTTGTCGTGTGCCTTGCCTGTGTGAGCAACCGTCGTTGATTATCGCAAATTTTGAGTAGTCCGCGCTCGATGGAGATGAAACAGCCTGTCTCATCGAGTTGACCCAGGCTCACAAGGTTAGCCTTGAGCCTCGGAATGAAGTAGACGTCGGTCCGCTTGCGATGCTCGCCTCCCTTGCTGGCGAATAGGATGGTGCCGCGTCCTTCGATCTCGACGACGGTCCTTGTGTTGCTCTCGTCTCACTCGCTGATCTGAGCGAACACTCGCTCCTCCTCCAGTTGAATTGGCTCCCTAGCTGGTGCCACCTTTGCTACGCCCAGCTGGAGCTCTTTCTCGAGTTCAACATCGTTGTTGATTACCTCCATTTCCGTGGATTTGGAATCGACAATGGGGACACATGCACTTACCATGAAAAGAGCTAGCTCGTCCTCCTCGGATTGAGCCACATGGGCCTTTTCGGCCTTCTCCTTGTTCCTAAGCTTGCTCCAGCAATCCCTACTTAGGTGTCCTTTCTTCCCATAGTTCGAGCTCGGACTCCTTCTTTTGATTCCCATCTTTCCCGCGCATGCACCTCAGGGACAACCTGTAGCATCTTCTTCACGATTTCTGTCTCGCTGATGCTGCCACCGAGTGTGGTGATGTGTGTGTTTTTACACTTCGCATTTTCTTCTACTCAAACCTGAGATCTTTATGATGTTAGGTCAAAGCTCTAACCACTTGAGCTATTCAACTTGTTTGTTGATAGGTTGGCTCCTCTGCAATGATATACACCGATCTTCAACCTGACTCTGATACCACTTGTTGTTTTTCACAGAATTTCGGTGTCTGACTGCGTTCGGATTGTTTTATTTTCTGAACAAATCTCTTATTTAAAGTAAAAATCATTCTAAAAATGGTTGGAGAGTGGCCAACTAAATCTGTGCCACTCCCTACAAAATTTCAGTCTAAAACTCTGGTGATCCATTTCACGTGATTTGTCAAATGGTCAAACTGATGATTTTCTGAAATCGTGTGAATAAGAAAAACGGTAAAACTCAGGTTTTATCGAACATGCCCTGAACAAAATCACTGTCAGGGAATAAGTACCCTCTACCCATCATTACTGACTTGTTCGATCGACTACATGGCGCGAAGTACTTCTCGAAACTCAACCCAACGTCGAGATACTATCAAGTGCGGATTGCCGAGGGAGATGACGCCAAAACGACTTGTGTCACTAGATATGGGGCCTTTTAATTCCTAGTCATGCCTTTTGGGTTGACTAATGCCCCCGCCACATTGCACCTTGATGAACTAAGTTTTCCACGAGTATCTCGATAAGTTCATGGTAGTCTATTTGGACAACATAGTGGTCTACAGCTCTACCATGGAAGAGCATGAACACCACCTGCGGTTAGTTTTTGAAAAGCTGAGAGAACACCAACTATACGTGAAGAGGGAAAAATGCGCGTTCGTGCAACAACGAATCAAATTCCTCGGACACGTAATAGAAGCAGGCAAGGTAGGTATGGAAGAGGAGAAAGTCAAAGCCACCAAGGAGGGGAAGATCACCTCCTCAGTGACAGAAGTGCGCTCCTTCCTTGGGTTGACAAATTACTATCGAAGATTCGTTGAAGGATTCTCAAAGCGCGCAGAGCTCTTGACCGAACTATTAAAGGAGGGAAACAAGTGGAGTTGGACTTCACGGTGTCAAGAAGCTTTTGACAACCTTAAGAACGACATGATGGAAGAGCCAGTTTTAGGGATTGCCGCGTGACAAAACCCTTTGAAGTCGAGACGGATGCCTCAGACTTCGCCCTGGGGGCGTCCTACTGCAAGAGGGACACTCCATACCATACGAGAGTCGAAAGCTAAACTTGACAGAAAGAAAGTATGCAGCATCTGAGAAAGAAATGTTGGCAGTTGTCCAATGTTTGCGATCTTGGAGACAGTACCTCCTCGAAGCCAAGTTTGTAGTCAAGACAGACAACAGTTTCATATGCCACTTCTTTGACCAACCCAAGTTATTGTCGAAAACAAGCATGCTGGCAAGAATGTGTGGCCGAATTCGACTTCCAGTTCGAACACAGGCCAGGTAAAGCAAACCAAGCTGCAGATGCTCTAAGTCGAAAGAGCGAACATGCGACCCTGTGCATGTAATCCCATCTACAAGCAAGTAAGCCGAGTGGAATGATACGAGAAAGTATCGAGGAACACCTAGCCAAAGGCCCGACCGCTCAGGCCATCATGCAACTGGCTAGAGAGGGGAAGACTCGCCAGTTTTGGGTCAAAGACAATTTACTCTTCACTAAAGAAAATCACCTTTACGTCCCCCATTCGGGAACTTGAGGAGACTCCGACTAAAAGAATGTCACGACACACTGTGAGCGGACCACAATGGGTGGCAGAGAACCTATGTCCTCCTAGCAAGGGGATACTATTGGTCGAACCTCCACGACGATGCGACACAGTTCACGAAGACCTGTCTTATCTGCCAACAAGACAAGGTTGAACGAAACAAAATTATGGGACTGCTGGAACCTCTACCGATCCCGTCTCGACCGTGGAAAAGTGTTTCTCTAGATTTTATCACACACCTCCCCAAGGTAAGAGAAAAGGAGTCCATCTTGGTCATCATTGACAGATTCTCCAAATATGCCACATTCATCCCAACTCGCAAGTCATTCTCGGCTGAAGCGACCGCACAACTATTTTATCGACATGTAGTCAAGTTGTGGGGCATTCACACCAGACCTTCTGGACTAAATTGTTCAAGTTATTGGGGTCAAGCCTAAACGTCTCTTCAAGTTATCACCCCCAAATTGACGGACAAACTAAAAGGTTCAACAATATGTTTGAGGAGTTCTTACATCATTTCATTGATGAGCGACAGAAGAATTGGGTACAGATGCTCGATGTTGCTCAGTTTAGTTTCATTGCCAACAAATCTCGTCGACAAGTAAAACCCCTTTTGAAATAGTATGTGGTAGACAACCACTCATGCCCCATGTTATTAACCACCCCTATGCTGGGAGAAGCCCTCAAGCGTACAACTTCACCAAAGAGTGGAAGCAAACTTCTAAAATAGCACGAGTGTACTTGGAAAAAGCCTCCCAAAGAATGAAGAAGTGGGCAGACCAAAAAAGAAGATCATTAGAGTTTCAAGCTGGTGACCAAGTTATGATCAAGCTGAGATCAGAACAATTTAGATTCCGTCAGAATCGGGATCAGCGACTAGTGTGAAAATATGAGAGACCAATTGAAGTCATTGAGAAAGTCAGAAGGACTTCATATCGTCTCCAACTACCTAAATGGATGAGAATTCATCTCGCCATCCATGTGAGTAACCTCAAACCATACCATCCAGACGATGATGACCATCAACGCAACCAAGTGACACGACCACCAGTGACGATGAAGGACTCGAGTAAGAAGGAAGTATAAGAGATTTTGGCCGAGCGAACCCGTCGCATTGGCAAACCAAAGTGCAACTTACAGGATTTTTTAGTCAAGTGGAAAGGACTTCCAGAAGAAGAAATCAACTAGGTACGTGCCGACGACATGAAGACAGCCGCACCTCAAATTGTAGAGTTCGAAGAAATGAGACGGTTGATAGGGACGTCAACCAATTAAGTGGGGGAGGATGTCATGGTCATGCTTGTCCAAGGCATGTCGCCCATGGCCGCATGGCCGTGACATGCCGAAACCCTGCCTTGTACTACTTTATTGCTTTCTTTTGCTGCTTTTATGTTGTATTATTTCTTTCTTGTTTTCTTTAAGAGTATGATGTTTTGACAAACTCATAGCTACTCCTAGTAGACATGAAATGTCTCAAAATATACTATAGGGAGATGCGACTAGTTGTTAAATTCTCCCTGCCCAGAAAAGTTAGATACTGTTTAAGCCCTTATTGTTGCTTTTTTGCTTGCATGCTTTATAACACACACACAGTCTCTCTCTCTTGCTTTCAAAACTCTTTTTCCAAAATCTCTCTCCCCCGCTTTCTAAAATCTTCTCTTGAAATCGAGACCCGAGGTTTGTATTCACGTTGCCCGACCGTAGGCAACGTGACTTAAAGTAGGCTTGATTCACTCAGTGTTGAGAGTGAGTGCCGCACAATCGCCAATTTCGTTGTCTAGAAACTGCGATTGTGACATCGAACACCACGGAGGGAAAGGGCTTGCATGACATCATGGTGAACATAAATGTAATAAATCATTGTAATGTACACGTTTGTACTCATCATAATGAAGAAGTATTTTGATGCACATGACACACAAATATGCATGAGATTCTCATAGTTTTTAATTATGACATAATGTATGATAAAAGACAAACCTCCATTTATCTATGACATATTAAGTATCTATGACAAAATTAAATATGATTTAATATTTTCAATTTTAGTAAATTAAGAAGTGCTTAAAAGAATGTATATTATAAAAATAAATTAAAAATGGGGTTATAGAAGTGTTTCTGAGAGATATTCAAACTTTTTGAACCAAATATTAATTAAGAAGATGATGTCAAATGTTGTTGGCCTAATTTGATTATGGATTAGTTGTGGATTAGAATGGTGAGAGTGAAAGTGAAGCACTAAATCGTGGAAAGCGAGGAGGGTGGCGATGTCATGGTGGGGTCGCCAATATACATATGCGTACCAAATGCAAACAAATTAATGGTCGGCTGAGAGCTGCTGGGGTTTCCCCTCCACTCTATTCCACCTACTCCTCTTCAATTTCTTTATTCACTTTTCGTTTATTTTGGTTAATCTGCCCCTCCACCTATTCAAATAAACACTTCAATCATTTTTAATTTCATCTCAGTTTCAATTTCCATTCTTGTATTTACACTTAAATTTCCAACTCGATCAGCATCCAGCAATTGCTCAGCCCCAATCTCGATCTGCCTCTATTTTACTAAACTTTTACTTAAGTTACCAGAAATCGAGTCAAAATTTATGGATCATAAGATTTTTTTTGTTCTATGTTTAGGTTGGAATAGGTCAATGACATTTTTGTTTCTAAACTTTGATAGTAAATATTATTTTTCATGATTTCAGCTAGCTTCTTTTCATGATGCACTTATCATGTTTGAACTAAAATTATGAATATTCAAGTCATGACATGCCTATAGTAACGGTCTTATTTTAAAGAAAAAAGTAAGGTCTGAACCAAGTAAGTAACAACTTGACATTTCACATTAAAATGAGCTTGAAGATTAGAATTAGAGATTGATCGAAAAGCAAGGATATGGGCTCGTGTGAGTAGGAAACAAAAAATATCTATTCTAGTTCTATCATCAGCTATGGGTTCGAATCTAAGAGAAATTCTCGAGAATGTTTGCTACCCTGAAATTTTTTTGTCTTTCCTGAATGATAAGGAGAAAAAAAAAATTGGATCAAAAGAAAATGCCATTTTGGAGTTTTATCAACAATTTTCTTGTGTAGGTGGAGATCCGGTATTTTCTGAATATGTCAGAAAGCATGTTATAAGAAGCATACAAAACTAAAAACATAGATTAGATATAATTTTGAGATCACAATACTATGATTCATTACTAAATCCTAATAATTTTCATGCAGTATGATTATGTGGTTGTATGGAGATAATTAAGGGCTCACCAACTAATTCTTAATTGTGAATCTTGACTATTGAGACTCCGTAAAACATTTTATTATGTTTATGCACGAGTAGAGCTAGGGTTGAGTCTTAAAATGCATAAACACCTTATGAGAAACTTAATGATGACGATGAAATGGACTAGTAGATCATCTAAACAAGATATCTTAGAATCTTAAGAACGTACCAAAGGAAAGAGAACCTTATAATTTTCAACCATGACCCTAAGACGAGTTTAGGTGAACAAAGTAAGCCTAAGGTATAGACTAATAAAAGTCAGTAACTTAGGAACGAAGTTCTGAATATCAATAAGACACTAAAGGAACGAATGAACAAACCAATGACAGAAGACTTATGAATGAACTAAGAACCACAATTAAGTTACTTATTGAGTATTTTTATATTCATCCATGCTACTTTAATCTTTTTAAATGAAGACAAGATGGGGCGATCAAGGTGAGGGTATGTACGAGCTATAAGGCTCGATCAGTGTCTTCTATTTCTCAGACTTTCACCCATCAAAAGTCTCCTTAGGTTACCCGATCGAAGAATATAGGTTGACTTTGGTGAGAAGTAAGTCATTTTCGACTCAAGATTTGTGAGGTTTTCCCTCTTTAGTCAACTAGATAATGTTTGGGTAGCCTAATGTTAGAATCGATACCAGTTGTAAGCTCTGATACCAATTGTTAGGATCGCTCAACAACGCACACACTCGATCAAGATGAACACAAAGAACAAGAGAGAGAAAATACAAGAATGAATATTAGCTAAAGGTATGTACAACAAGATAGAATACAGAGGATGAAGAAAAGTACATTTTGAGAGCACTGCCTAATGGGGTACGTATATGGTTTCAATTTACTTCCAAACATTTAAACCTAGATATAATCTAAAAAATATATCTCTATCAAATCTTTAGCAAATATCTACGGTACATATATCTATCAAATCTTTACGAAATATCTTCCAAATATATCTCTATCAGATCTAGGCATCAGGCTTCATATCCCAACAATCTCCCAATTAGCGACTGGTCTAGTCAACCCCAACAATCTCCCACTTGACTAATCCAATCAACCAAGAATTTCATTCTCAATCTGTACCATACCATTTGAGGCTTTGCACAACCTCAATGTTCCAACATCAACACAAAGTG